TGAGAAAGCAAGCCACCAGGTTTGGGACTCGTTTGAATCACATTTGACCAGGTGGGAGTTCAGTCCAGCCACCTTAACCGCACATCACCTGCCGGCCCCTGGGACGGATTTTTTAAACTCTGTGATTTTGCAGCCAGAGCGCTGACACACACAGGAACCGATGTCTGTGACCCCTCATGCTCAAGGAGAGCTGGGTGTGATTGCTGGTCTCCACACTACGCTGTCCGTGTCCTTGCGGTGGAATGACTGTGGTGTGACGAGTGTTGTAGCACATCTGATGGGTTTCAGCCACTGGGTACCAGTCGCTTTTGTTTCTTCTGAGTTTTTGTTTTATTTCAAAGCATACCCTCAGAGAATTTACTAATATTAAGAATCTGCCATTAAAAAGAAAATTTTTACATGAGCCAGCTCAATGGTGGTATAGTTAAGGCACCTGAATCCCACATGGCTGACGTGCGGTTCAAGTCTCAGATCCGATGGCTTGGGAAACACTCTAGTACATGTGTGCCCCAAGTTCCGAAAGGAGCAAGAAACAGGAGAAGGGATTGCAGTGTGTCTGTGCCCCACAGAGGGTGCTTTCTCCTCTCCCTCTCTGTCTCTGCTGAACACATGTGCATTCTATCAAACAACAAAGTAAGTTTAGTAGGGTTATTCTTTAAAGTTATTTATTTAACTTTATTTATTATTATTATTTTTAAATTTGGAGAGAGAAAGGAGGAAAGTGAGAAAGCAAGCCTCCGGGTCCAGGACTTGAACCATGGATGGCCATGTGAGAGTCCAGCGCCTTAACCACCACACCACTTGCCACTCCTAGTAGAGTTATAGACTTAGAAAAAATACTCAGCAAAACACAAGTCTTCCCAGGTGATCAAACCATAAAAACAGTCAAGGTGAGCTTAATAATTAGTTCGTAAATAAAATTTAATATATTCAACTTATTTTTTCTTTTTTTGCTTTTAAAGTTTATTTTTGAGTTAGTATTTTGTAGGAAACAAGCTAATTGTGTCAGCCTGAAGTTAACATGCGATTGTGACAGAGAAAGTGGACATTGTACATAGCGTGCAGCGTACGATGGCGTGGCACACGCCTTACCAGCTCTCTCTGTTTTGATTTACCAGCTCGTGGGACATGAGCAAGTTCCTCAACATGCAGTGCCAGCTTAGCAGGCTCAGGTACCCTTCTTTTGCTAAAAAGTGGATCAATATTCGAAAGTCATATGGAAACTTTTATAAGGTAAACTTTTTATGTTTACTAATTACACTGTTAAAGATAATTGTTAGGTTTGATGTGGAGGAACTTGTGGCTTTCTAAGTGTTTTTCATAGAAAAGGATCATGTTGTAGTTGTTTGCAAATTCCAAGGTAGTTATGTTCAAATTAGGAAAATAAGTCTCTTAGGGGGAACCAGCAGATGGTATGCTGGTTACATCACTGGACTCCCACATAGTTGACCTTGGTTCAAGTCCCAGACCTGGTAGCTTAAACTCACACCAGGTGCATGTGCGTGTGTGCCCAAGATCCCGAGAGGAGAATGGAGGAGAAGGGATTGCGATGTGGCCATCCCACCAGGGGGGGATTTCTCGCTTTCTGTCTCTGTCTCTCTGTCTTTAGCGAGTGCACACGCCCTATAGCAAAAAACCTCTGAAAAACAAACAAACAAACAAAACAACTCTTGCTGGATACATGTGTGCACATGGCCAAAATTTGGGGAGGAGAAGGAATTGTGGCATGGCCACCACCCCAGGGGATGGGGGTGGGGTGATTACTCGCTTTCTGTCTCTCTGACAAGTACATGTGCCCTATAGGAAAAATCTCTCCTAAAAAAAATAGAAAGAAAAGAAATAGGGACCAGCAGTAGGCGCAATGACTATGCTGCTGGACTCCCATGTAGTCAACCGCAGTTTGAGTCCTGGACCCAGTGGCTTAAACTCAATGCTGGGCGCATGTGCATGCGTGCCCAAGATCCCGAAAGGAGAATGGAGGAGAAGAGATTGCAGCGTGGCCATCCCCCTGGGTGGTGATTTCTCACTTTCTGTCTCTCTGTCTCTCTCTGTCCTTCTGGTGAACGGACACGCCCTATAGCAAAAACCTCTCCAAAAAAAAAATCATGATGGTGCTCACTTTGGTTTGTGTTAGCTTTACAATCGCTAGGACTTGAAATCAACCCAAATGTCCAACAGTAGATGATTGGACTGAAAAAAATGTGGCACATGTAGTCTGTGGAACACTACTCAGCCATAAAAACAGGGAGACCCTGACATTGAATACACAGTGGATGAATATGGAAGACTCCGGGGTAAGTGAGGCCAGCCAGACTGTGACAGACTTTGTATGACCCCGCTCAGTACATACCGATTGTCTGCGCTCTGTGGCAGAAGCCGAAAGTTTGGAGGGTGTAGTAGCAGGGAGGCAATGGTAGATACTAGAGATAGCAAGGATGGGGTGATACAGGGGTGGGGACTTGAGGGAGGGAAACGGGAAGGCGAAAAAAGTACATTTAACTGACAAAAAAATGAAAAGCTCCTTGCTGCTGCTGATGTGGATAGTGATGTCTTTGTCTTGACTGATACGATGGTAATTGTGCTGAAAAAAATGTTATTCACTGTAAAGATCTATGTGATGAAATGTAATATAAAATAAATAAAAAACAAATCATGGTGGACAGCTGGCCCCATGCTTAGCTCTGCAGGGGCACAGATCCTGTGTGGCTGACAGTGGTTTGAATCCTGGTCCTAATGCTGTGAGGGACATGGCGCATGTGCATGTGTGCCCAGACACCCTGATGGGGAGGAACGGAGAAAAGGGGTTTCAGTGTGGCCACACCTCTTCGGGGATGCTTTCTCTCTCTCTGGCAAGCACGTGTATCCTCTGGCAGTTAAAGCATTTTTAAAAAAATAGTAAAAATCATAATGGCATGAGTTGGCCTTTGTTAGTAAAGCTAACCTGACTTGATGTCATCCGGGACTGTTTTGTTTTATCTGAGGCTTCTCACTTTGGTAGAGCAGACATGGCACTGAGTACCTCAGCAGGTGTCACGGGCAGGCCCCGCGGGTGCACGACCTGCATTTCCACACAGGGCACCAGCCACATCTAGCTCTCCCGTCTTCCAAAGCCGAAGCTCGGCACTGCGCCGTGCCGTCTGTGGGGCCGGCCTCCCACGCCCTGGCTGGCTCTGTGAACACGACTGGCCGGCATCTCCCCAGGTGCCATTCAGGGGCTGTCCTCTTGTGTGCAGCGCCCCTCACTCACAGGATGTCTTCAAGGTTGGCCTCCGTTGTGCCCCACGTTCGTGCTTCCTGAGACAGTAAGACTCCATTTTGAGAGTTTCCTGTCTGTGAAAGCCCAGTGCTTTCTCATTACATACCAGGTTTTAAATCCATTGGAATCGTGGTGGACGTGTGGTCTGGCCCCTTTTTGCTGTTAGAATAGTGCTGCTGTGACGTGGCTGTCCAAGGTTGAGGTCCAGTTCCGGCTCCCGGTCCCAGTGTATGCTCAGTACCGGGCTGCGGGGCTGGGCGCTGACTGCCTAACTTTGGGGTGTCTCACAGCAGCTGCCCAGCTTACAGTGCCATGAGCAATGCACACGGGTTCCTGCCCACACATCCTGGCCAGCACTTGTTATTGTCAATTTTGTTTTGTTTTGTTTTTCTCACAATGGCCAGGGTCAGCTCTGTGGTAGAGTGTTCAGACACTCCCGCTTGGCCCACTGGTGTGAATCCTGATCTTGGCAGCTTGAAAACCACTCAAAGTGCATGTGTGTGTGCTCAAGATCCCAGCAATTAAAACATAATGACTGGGCTGCCAGGTGTGTATTGGCTAAGTAGGCTGGATCCCACATGACCAACTGCAGGTTCAAGTCCCGGATCTGGCAGCTTGAAAAAAAACAACCACTGAGTGGGATCCACAGATGGCATAATGATTACATCGCTGGACTCTCACATAGTCAACTACGGTTTGAGTCCTGGACCTGGAGGCTTAAAACTCATGCCAGGTGTGTGTGTGTCTGTCTGTCTGTCTGTCTCCAAGATCCTGAGAGCAGAATGGAGGGAAGGGATTGCAGTATAGCCCATTCCTCCTGGGGAGTGGGGGGTGACTTCTCACTTTCTGTCTATCTCTCTGTGTCTCTTTGGTGAGTACACACACTCTATAGCAAAAATCTCTCTCTAACGTACACACACACTCACACTCACACACTGGGTGCGTTCGTGTGCATGCCCAGATCCTGAGAGGACGGAGAAATCGAGAAGCGTCTATGGCATGACCACGCCCCGCAGGCTGTGCTCTCTCACACCTCGCTCCTTGCTCTTGTAGCTCTCCAGAAGGGTACGTGTCCTCCGACAGAATTAATTTAAAAACAAATTCCATTTTGGGACCAGCAGATGGCGTTAATGGTTACATTGCTGGACTCCTAGTAGTCCACCATGGTTTGAGTCCCAGACCCCTGGTGGCTCAAGACACGCCAAGCACATGTGTGCATGCCCAAAATCCAGAGAGGAGAATGGAGGAGAAGGGATGTGGCCTGGCCATCCCACTAGGGGTGACTTCTCACTTTCAGCCTCTCGGTCTCCGCAAGCCTCCTATAGCAAAAATCTCTCTTAGAAGTAAAAAGGCTCTCTTGTCAGTTGGCTTTGGTTCTCATTTCCTTAACACTGAGTGATGGTATCTTGTCATGTGCTTATTGGCCATTTGCATAACATCTTTGGAGAAATGTCCATTTATACTCTTTGCCCGTTTTTTAATCAGGTTTTTGTTGAATCAAAGGAGTTCTCCATTCTGGCTAATAATTGCTTATTAGGTGAGTGACTGCACACGCCCTCCCCTCTATGGGCTGCCTCTGCTCTGTCGATAATGCCCTTGATATGCACCAAAGCTTTTAAATTTGGATGGATCTTATTTTCTCTTTTATTGACAACATTTTTGGTGTCATATCCAAGAAAGCATCATCAAATGCAATGCTAGTAGAAAGCTTTCCCCCACCTTTTATTCTAGTGGTTTTATAAATTTGGATCCTAACTTAAGGCCTTCGGTTTATGTGGAGGTGAGGGTCCAGTTTCTTCTGAGTGGAAACCCAGTACCCCAGCACGTGTGCTGAGATGGCTGTCTGCCTATGGAGTGGTCTCGCCCCGTCAGCAGACCTATCTGTGTGGCCGTTGCTGGTGCAATGGTGGGTGTGGTGCCTGCAAGCTGCCTGTGGGAGCTCCGGGCCTCTGTCTGGGCCTCTTCCGGACACTGGTGTGTCTGTGCCGAGACCCAGGCTGGCTGAGGCTGAGGGTGCGTTGGTGTCAAGACCGCACTGCTGCCGTCTCTCTCCCTCGCTCATGGAAGAGATAAGGGAAACGCTGACGGTGGCTGTGCGTGTGAGGATGTCTCTCCAGACCCTGTACTCTGCCCCACTGCTCTGGGCACCTGCGTTTGGGTCCTGTGGCTTCGACAGCACTCCTCACGTTGTCACCTGCCTGTTTAATGACCGCTCAGGCTCAGGGCTCCAGCGGGCATCCTCTCTGCCCGTCTGGCCATGTGCCGCAGTTCATTGGTGTCCGTACACAGTTCGTGAGCAAGAAGACCATGGGTCGTTCATAAATCTCTATTGTGCGCCCGTAGCAGTGTTTTGAGTAAATGAACCGCTTAGGCTGGGTTTATGTGACTGTTGCTTTCTGTGTGGGCAGCATTGCGCTAGTCTGGTGCGGTGTCGTGTGCTGGCTGCTGGGCAGCTGTTGCCCACGAGACCTCTGCCGTGAAGCTCTTCCAACACCTACTCGTAGGAACAGACCATGGTCATTAAGTCAGGAGTCCCTGACAGCGAGGTTAAAATGATGCATGAAATCTCCAGCTTTATTCTTTTTGTTCCAAGATTTTTTTTTTTACTATTTGGGGCTCCTCAAGACTCCATGTGAACTTTCACATGGGATTTTCTATTTCTGCAAAAACTATTGTTTGGTCTATTTTACTGTGCATTGCATTGAATCTGCAGATGGCTTCGGATACTGTTATTTTGACAATATTAAGTCCTCTAATCCATCATCGTGGGTGTCTTTCCGTTTATTGGCGTCTTTAATTCCTTCAACAACATTTATCATGAGACGGGGTTGAATTCTGTCAGATTCTGTCAGTGTGGTGTTCTGGGTTGATTTTCACTTGCTGAGCCAGCCTTGCGTTCCAGGGACAAACCCTGGCGTGACCTGTAGTCTGTAGGTGCTGAGTTGGGTCACGCGTGTCGTGGAGGGCTTCTCATCAGGACACCCAGGAGGAGCCTCGTTTGGAACTTCCTTTCGTTCCAGTGCTTTTGCTTTGTTCTGAGTGGCGGCTGGCCTACAGGGCTGGCCTACAGGGCGGGTTCTGAGTGGCTGGCCTGCAGGGCGGGTCCGGACGAGTTCCTCCTCTTCAGTGTTGGCGTAGTTTGAGAAGGGTGGTTGCTGATGACTCAGGGGACTTGGCCTCTGCCTTCTGGCCTCAGGCTTCCTCTGTGTCAGGCGGGCTGTGATTACTGACTCATCGTCTCCTCCTAGGTGTGTCTGTTCAGGCTGTGATTTCTTGGTGCTCAGTCTTGGTAGGTATGTGTTTCTAGGAATCGGTCCATCTCACCTCGTTGTCCAGCGGGGTGTTCTAAGTGACATTTAATCGGAGACCTGCAGTGCATTGCCGTATTCCCGTTTAAGTACAGGTGCTGTTGGTTCTCTGCTTCATGATTGTCCTGGTACCCTGAGTGGCCACATGGTAGCTGAGGCTCTAATGCACTAGTGACGCACACCGACCAGAGCCCAGCAAGTCTCCCTGACAGGGAGGTGCAGGAACCTGACGGTGATTCTCAGAAGTAGAGGGACACCTTAGGGTCTGGGGAGACTGTAAGGTTTTGTATGTATCAACAGCTGGTCTTTATTTTTATTTTTTTAGAGAGAGTTTTGCTTTAAGGTGTGTGCATGTACCGGAATGACAGAGACAGAAAGGGAGAAATCACCCCCTGGGGGAATGGCCATGCCACAATCCCGTCTCCTCCATTCTCCTCTTGGGATTTTGGGCATGCACACACACACATGCCCAGTGTGAATTTCAAGCCACTGGATCTGGGATTTGAACCGTGGTTTACTGCATAGGAGTCCAACAGAGTAAGTATCACACCGTCTGCTGGTCCCAGAGCAGGTTTTAAACAGTACACGATGCCACCTTCCCTTCTTGATCTTCTTTTTAAAGAATTATTTGTTTAATTTTATTTATTCATTCAGTTATTTTAATTTGACCAGAGAGAGAGAGAGACGCAGAGAGAGAGGGAAAATGAGAAAGCAAGCCGCCAGGTCGGTACTCGAACTGTGGTTGGCCTGTGGGAGTGTCCAGCACCCACACCACCATGCCACCTGCTGGTCCCCTTGTTGATCTTCTTTATCTTCAGTCTAAGGAGATTTGATGCTGTCAGTATAGAGCAGTACATTGCTAGAAAATGCCATAATTTGTCTGTTTAAAATTCAGGTGGATCTTCAACTTAAATGTCCAGAACAGTACAAAGTATGAATAATTTGTTCACTTATAAACTCTGTTGTAGCTATGTTTTAGCTCAGAGAATTTGCTTTATTTAACCATGAGTATTGCGCTTTTCCTACCTGATTCAGCTGTAGCTATTCTTAGTTTCTTATTCCCCAACTTAACTGTGGCTTATATTGCAGTCTAGGACAGTAAAGAATTACCAAGTGGTTCGTTTTTCAGGTTCCCAGAAGCCAGACCAAACTGACAATAATGCTTGAGAAACTCGGAATGGATTATGATGGGCGGCCTCACAGTGGTCTGGACGACTCTAAGAACATTGCCCGGATCGCAGTGCGGATGCTTCAGGACGGCTGTGAACTCCGCATCAACGAGAAGATGCACGGGGGACAGCTGACAAGTGTGTCCTCGTCCTTACCAGTAGAGGGTGCTCCGGCTCCGCAGATGCCACATCCCAGAAAGTGACTGTGTTTCCCTCTGGGATCCTTGTCCTCAGAGCTGCTACAGAGCAGTAGCAGAGTCCTCATTGCAGTCCCGCAGTGCAGCGTCAAGCATCCTGTCCCCTGAAATCCCATAGTTACAGATAGATACAGACATGTGTGTATGTGTGTGTGCACACGGACAGATTCTCGGGGCACATGGGGTTTTTGTCACCAGCACTTTGGATATAAGCAGTGTCTGTTACACAGTAACGTTTCCTGCTTAGAACTGCATTTTATATTATGAATTAGGATGTCCAAGATGTGTTCCCTTAGTTTTCAAATGCAAAATTTTATTGGCAGTTTCCTCGAATGTCATACCTTACTGATGTAAAAATAGAATGTATTTCTACATTAACTTCACTAGATCAAACCATTCCTTAAAATTCAGAAAAGATTAGAAGGTAGGCTTTCTCTAGCCTTCTGATTTTAAGAATATCCTCTTCTTGGTTTGTGAGGTTTGCATGTGAGGCTCAGCCTTGGTCAGGGCCTCGTCAAGTGCTCGGGCCTGGCCGCCCACACTTCTTTTCATAGGGTCTGGCTAACGAAACTACAGAAGACTAATGGAAGTTGGGGGGAAAAATGTATTTAGAAGAATTTCCCAAGGGCTCAGACTGTCCAACATGTACATAGATCAGTGGGCTTTGGATTTGATTGGTTGGCTCTGCCCCTCCTGTGACATATCTACCCTAATTCTTTTTTTTTTTTTTGGAGAGGTTTTTGCTATAGGGCGTGTGCGCTCGCCAGACAGAGAGAGACATAGAGACAGAAAGCTAGAAATCACCCCCCGGGGGGATGGTCACGCCGCAATCCCTTCTCCATTCTCCTCTCGGGATCTTGGGCATGCACGCACACGCGCCTGGTGTGAGTTTTAAGCCACCTGGTCCAGGACGCGAACCACGGTCGACTACATGGGAGTCCAGCATCATAGCCATTACGCTAACTGCTGGTTCCCTCTACCCTAATTCTTAAATCTGAGAGACCATGCTTTAAAGTAGATTTAAAATTAGGGGTTGCCACTTAATTTTACATTTGGATTCAATATTATAAGTAAGGTTAATAAAGTCAAGTAATATTTTCTACCAAATCTTATATTTTCGTTGCTTAAAACTACATTTCCATCTGTGGAGTTCGTCAGGGAGTGCTTACCTGAGTATATGTAAGGAGAGACCACTAGATGTTAACTGGATCGTAACCAATTCTAAAACAAAATGAGGGCTGCCCATGGCCTAGTGGTGAAAGGAGCTGGACTCCATCAGCTGACCACAGTTTAAAGTCACCCGGCATCCTGAGGGGCATGTCCTGTGTGCCCTGAGTCCCCACAGTGTCAAAAAGGGGAGAAGGGATTCAGATGTGACCACACAGACGTGTGGCGAGTACAGGTACCCTTTGGCAATGAAAAAAAAGGTAAAAAGAGCTATTAAAGTTGATAAAGTGAGGACCAGCAGTTGGTGTAATGGCTATGTCTCTGAACTCCATGTAGTCAACCACGGTTCGAATCTTGGACCCAGTGACTTAAACACATTGGGCGTGTGTGTGCGTGTGCCCAAGATCCCAAGAAGAGAATGAAGGAGAAGGGATTGTGATGTGGCCATCCCCCCTGGGGGGTGATTTCAACCTCTCTGTCTCTGTCTACACAGGGAGGTCTAGGTGGTTTATATGGCACTCAGGGTCAGAGGGCACACTGATGTCCACACCAGGAGGTCTAGGCGGCTTATACGGCACTCGGGGTCAGAGGGCACACTGATGTCCACACAACACGGAGGTCTAGGTGGCTTAAACGGTGCTCAGGGTCAGAGGGCACACTGTGCTGGTGAGTGTCCGGAAGTCTGGGAGAGTCTGCAGTCTGTGTGAGCACGGGTAAGCAGGTCTTAGGGCTGGATGCCAGGACATCTCCTAGGCACCTCCCTGAGGTGACTTTCTATGCGACCACCTCACCGTGGGCTCAGACTCATGCCCCAGCGGAAGTGCCATCGTTCATATCCACTTGTGGGATTGCTCATGAATAGCTGAACTTGCAGTTGGGAAATTTAAAAATGGCAAGGAAATAACACTTTGCCGCCTCTTTTTCTTTTCCCTTTTTTTCCCCTTTACCGCGCTAATTTCTTTATTTTTCTTTGTGCCAAATAATCAAAGCACTAAGACCTCCAACTTTGTAAACTCTAAGTACCCTTTTGGCTCAACCAAATGTTTTATTGTCTGAACTCTATCTTTTTTTTAATATTTAATTCTATTTGTTATTAAAATTTTTTAAATTATTTATTTAATTCCATTTGTTATTTTTTAATTTGACCAGAGAGAGAGAGGGAAAGCAAGTTCCAGGTCTGGGACTCTAATCATGGTTGGCCTTCTGGAAGTCCAGCACCTTAATCACCATGCCACCTGCTGGCCTGTCCTAATCCATTTTCAATCACTTCAGTGAGTCTTCACCTTCTCCTCCATTTTCTTTAAGAGGCAGGGTCTTGCTACTTGGACTCTTCCTGCCTCATCCTCCCGGGCAGCCCAGCTGCGGGTGTGCCCTGCCTTGCCTGTTTATCCGGGTGGTTTGGGACTTTGCTGAGGTGACCTGGGCCTGTTCTGATGATGTGACCTTAACTCAGTTACTGCCTTCTCTGGGGTTTTGTTGTGTTCTTTATCTTTGGGCTACAGTCCACACTGGAGAGATTCGTGCAGCCTAGTGTCCCAGTCAATCAATATTCATAATATTTTATTGTCGGTTTTTATTTTTCTTAAGCTATTACTATATTATGCTGCTATTAAGCATATTAGTCATGACTCATTTTTAACAGCCTTTGTGTCTCAGTGGTCATTAGCTACGTTAATTTCTCCGCTGTTTGTGCATCATTCGCTCTGACATTGACACATTGGGCTTCTGCTCTATCCTTTTTGTTTTTTCTTTGAGAGGTTTTTCACTATAGGGTGCGTGCGTTCGCCAGACAGACAGAGAGAGACATAGAGACAGAAAGCGAGAAATCACCCCCTGGGGGGATGGTCACGCCACAATCCCTTCTCCATTCTCCTCTCGGGATCTTGGGCACGCACGCACACACGCCCGGCGTGAGTTTTAAGCCACCGGGTCCGGGACGCAAACCGCGGTCGACGACGTGGGAATCCAGCAACAGGCTACTTGGACTCTTCCTGCCTCATCCTCCCGGGCAGCCCAGCTGCGGGTGTGCCCTGCCTTGCCTGTTTATCCGGGTGGTTTGGGACTTTGCTGAGGTGACCTGGGCCTGTTCTGATGATGTGACCTTAACTCAGTTACTGCCTTCTCTGGGGTTTTGTTGTGTTCTTTATCTTTGGGCTACAGTCCACACTGGAGAGATTCATGCAGCCTAGTGTCCCAGTCAATCAATATTCATAATATTTTATTGTCGGTTTTTATTTTTCTTAAGCTATTACTATATTATGCTGCTATTAAGCATATTAGTCATGACTCATTTTTAACAGCCTTTGTGTCTCAGTGGTCATTAGCTACGTTAATTTCTCCGCTGTTTGTGCATCATTCGCTCTGACATTGACACATTGGGCTTCTGCTCTATCCTTTTTGTTTTTTCTTTGAGAGGTTTTTCACTATAGGGTGCGTGCGTTCGCCAGACAGACAGAGAGAGACATAGAGACAGAAAGCGAGAAATCACCCCCTGGGGGGATGGTCACGCCACAATCCCTTCTCCATTCTCCTCTCGGGATCTTGGGCACGCACGCACACACGCCCGGCGTGAGTTTTAAGCCACCGGGTCCGGGACGCAAACCGCGGTCGACGACGTGGGAATCCAGCAACAGCCATTATGCTAACTGCTGGTTCCCAGCTTCTGCTCTATCAATGGAGACACATTGTCCATTTTTTATGTTTTGTGTTACTTTAGGTACAATGCTTAAAAATCATTCACTTCAGGAAAATACTTTTCTCATGTCTTTTTTGGCCTTAAAATAGCGTTGTTTTTCCTTCCTCTTAGGGATAAGTTCCTACCAGGACTGAAATGAAAAACCAAGGGAGTCACTAATGCCTGTTAAAGGTGAGGGGAGTTATCACTGAAGATGGGTTTCAGGTGATAGTTTTTTTAAAGATGGGGCAAACTGACCTTTAGTACCTGTTTGAACATCACCCAGAATGACAATGCAGATTGGTAATGGGAGGGCGGGAGGGCACAGGGGGTCTCCCAGGGAGGGAGAGACTTGGTGTCAGGCCAGCAGTCACGCTGGTCCGGCGGTAGGTGAAGCCTCGCAGAAACAGCTGTGGCTGCACCGTGTGGGTGTGTGCATCCCAGACCAGATGCCCTTCTGCAGGGCTGCCCTCACTCCTCAGCGCTGGGGAGGAGGCAGCCCCGTGAGAGCGGCTTTGGCCGACTGCTCCCCACGTGGTGAGGTGCTTCCACACACCCATGGGTCGCACACCCGTGCCCAGGGTCACTGTACTGCTCCTGTTGCACTTGGCAGTTTCCTCTGTCCTGTGCTGTCAGCCCGTCCGTCTGTCATGCCCCCCCAAAGCTACAAATCCCAGCACTTGTTGATCTGGGGCTGGTTCAGGAGCTGCCAGACAAAGCCTGCTTCCTA